AGATGATGAACGACAACAGAGAGATGATACCAATCTGGACAGGACAAGCACGCCCCATAAGAGCGTAGAGTTGGTGTCAGAACCCCAGGAAACCGGTCAGAAATCACCTGAAATCCCCGAAAAGTCCGCCGTTTTGAATGGACTGGGTGAAAAGTCGCCTCCCAGAGGCACGTCGACAGACTCTACCAAAAGTGAAGCAGAGAACACGCCTGTTACGCCCAGATCTGGCCCCGAGTCCTCAAGTCAAAAGTCATCACCACAGCGATCCAGTGAGCAGCACTTTACTTCGTTTGATCAGATTGTACCACCAGGTCAATCGGATGACAATGACGAGGATGGTCCTCGAAAGGCTCCTCTTACGCTTCATAATGCGTCGTTTACTTTACACGATGATGCCACGGGTGACGGCGGCAAGATTCGCAGCAAACCTAGTTGGGACTATTTAATCCAGGTCGAGCCGTCATCGTCTGCGCATACCGGATGGATGATTGTTCGACGTTACTCCGATTTTGAAACGTTACATGAGATTTTGAGGAGAATTGCAACTATATCTGGAGCCACTGCATTTACGGAGCTTCACAAAGAATTGCCAAGCTGGAAAATACACACAAGAGAGTCTCTCCGGGGAGAGCTTGAAAGATACCTGAGGGACGGGTGTTGGTATCAGTCACTGGCTGAGAGTGAAGGCATGAAGCGCTTCCTGGAGAAGTCTCAGGGCCATACACACGGTAACTCGAAGTCCTTTGGCTGGGAGACTGTCGGCAAGAACATGCTTGACGTTCTCACTATTGCGCCGAAAGGTGCTGTTGAAGGAGGCAAAACATTGGTTGGCGGTGTAAGCGGAGTATTTGGCAACATTGCTGGTTTAACTAGGAAGTCGACCAGCCAGTCAGTCGATTTAACGCAGTCTGTGAATAGACTATCAATATCCACGCCGCCTCGAGTGGATTCGGCAAGATCTCCAGCGAGATCAGATAGAGCTAGCATGGACAGCCAACGGTCTTCGGTTATCTCCACCCAACCCGGAAAGATGGCACCAATGTCGCGACGACCCAGTTACCAGTTCGTAGGTGATATTGACGGTGAGATGGGGAGAATGGGGAGAAGTGCTGAGAGAATCGAGACTGGATCCGGCCCAGCCAGTGCGCGGCCCAGCATGGAGCATAGTAGGGCATCTAGCTTGGCGGCACTTCAGTCACCTTCAACCGTTAGTCTTGATCTCACGAAGCTTCCCCCACCACCAGACGAGATGACGAGTGATTATGAATCATCAGTGAATGGTGATGAAACACAATCGAGACAAAACGATAATGCGAACATCTATCAAACTATTCGCAGTCTGCCAAACAGCTCCAGCGCGCCGTCCTTGTCGACCCTGAATGGTGGGAAGAAGGCGATCACGAAGCCTGTCAAACAGTGCTCGCCGATGTCGGAGCAAGAAACCAGAGTGGCCGTCGAGCTCCTGTTCGCAGTGATCAATGAGATGTACACTCTTTCGTCTGCATGGAACATCCGCCGCACGCTTCTGACCGCAGCCAAGTCCTTCCTCCTGAGACCAGGGAACCCGTCATTGCTCACTGTGCAGTCTTTGATCCAGTCATCTGTGCTCGATGCAAACACATCGGACGCTGGAATCGCAGCTCAGCTGCGTAAGCTCCGGGCAAACACAATGCCAACAGACCAAGAGAGGGCTACCTGGCCGGAGGAAATGACAGCTGACGAAAAGGAGAAGCTAGCAATTAAGGCGCGCAGGCTTCTCATCCAGAGTGGGGTCCCAGCGGCATTGATGGGTGTCATGGGGCAGGCGGCCACGGGTGAGGCGCTCGGTAGGGTGTTTGACTGCCTGCAGATAGAGGAGGTGGCGAGAGGTCTGATATTTGGACTGATCCTGCAGGCCGTCAAGATCTTGACGCACTGATGATATTGCAAGAGAGAAGGGGGAGTTGAGTTGAGGAGTGACTGCTTGGGGGTGGCGGTTTGAGAGCCAAACTTAATAATTGCCCGTCCAACGGGGATATCCAACAGTGGCATCCGCTGCCGAGGGCCTTTCAGCGGTTTGAATGTGTACGATTACATGGCATGTCAGGAATGGAGTATGAGCAATGGTATTGTTTTTATTTGAGACGGTGGCAAAGGCGTTTTTTAATACACAGTGTAACGACTAGACCACAGGTACAGCTATATATATATGTATTGTAATGAAATAGCCACAAATGGCACTGGGTGCTGTTTCTTCGTTTTATAGACCGACCTGTTGCAATGTGCTTAAGCCAAGTTCGAACGAGGACAGATCATTCAAGAAGAGTGGCGGCAACCAGCGCCGCAAAGCAGCGGCGTAATTCCAAGCGAAGCAGCGCACTAAGCGCAATATATATATATATATATGTGTGTGTGTGTGTGTGTGTGTGATTGTTGATTCATTTTCTCCTGTTCAACATACCTAGGTACGTGGGTGCAAAGGCAAGATGCTTACCGAGTACGTACTAGGTACCTTGGTAGTTTATCTGTATCACGTGAATGATGTGCATGCAGTCCAACATGCAACACGCACACCTTGGAAGCCAACCACACACCTTGGCCTTTCCTTGAAAGGAACTTGCATGCTGGTCACGACTCTTTTTCGACCTTGTCTTTCGCGGGGAACTTTGGTAAGCCACGGCTGCCTACCGTCCAGTCACCGTCGCCGGTGGCTACAATCGTCTCATGTCCTTCAGACCCCTACTAGTGCCAGTTGTGCTGATTGACGGAGCACCGCACATGATGCGATCAACGGCTGGGGCCGAACGGGACAGGGCCCATGATGAAGGTTACGACATCGGCTGGGGAGTGTAGGCTGACGAAGAGGACTGTTTTCTTTTTGGAGAGGGGCCGCGGTCAACCCCTGTGTAAATCTTGCGTTTTCAGCAGTTCTGGTGATCTCCTTGGAAGAAACGCAACGACGACCACCAATCCCCGCTCGCTAACGCGCCATTTGCCCAGTTGGGCTGGATTCAGGCGCGGGAGTGTAGACTAGGAGGGAAAGGGAAAATGTGAGACGAAAGCTGGTGGCTTGGATGGTACCGTGGCGTTTCTGCATCGCTTGGAAGAATTCACGCAAGGCAGGAAGACAGGCGCGCTCCGGGGCTTGCCCATACCAGGTCGGGAGAGCCAACTACTCCGCACCCATATGTCGAACGAGGCGTGACGGAGGATGAGGGGGGCTGGGGGGATCGTCATGAGCCGAGGATGCAGACCCCCGTTCCGCCACTTCGGTGTTGAAAGTCCGATCCGCAGAAAGCTGTTCGCCGTAGCCCACGACGCCCGAGTCATACACGTACACACGTTCGAGGTGATGTAGATGGGAACGACATGGCCATGTGGTTCAGGAACAGGCACATCTGCAGCTTCCCCGTTCATGATGGTGTGTTGTACCGCGTGACTGGTTTGCGTTCATCGCAGCATGCGGGGGAGAACCAAACTGGCGGCCTGCAGTTGCCAAGAAACCAAGTGATGATGGGATGGCGATTTGTGAAATGATCTGGGAATCATCCCCAGCGACGACGTCCTGGGACGGCTGCAGCGTTGCACCGCATCACGGAGACATGTGGTAGTGTAGCATGGAAGGGCTAGGATGCTCAACTTGGCAAGAAACGAAGACCGAGGCTTCAACAGAACTGTTGTATCGGCCGTCTTTTGCAGCGAGTCGAGAAATGAAGATGCAAGGTTTGCACAGAGGGAAAGAGGGTCGACCACCGAGCTGCGCCTTGCTGGGCGGTCATGCACGTTGGGAGATCGACAGACGGGGAACCAAAGTCAAAACAAAACTAGATTCCTTGCTTTCATTCGTTGGAAATATGAACTTGGACGACGTGCAGAGTTACTATGGTATTGAATCCATGTTGCAAGTCTGACAGACCACGCTCCTCCGTGGTTCGTGGTGGTTGGCCCCGAGCCCGTGTGTGGACATGACCAACACTCACACTTTACGTGCGCTGGCATACGAAATCAAGAGTAGTAGATCATCTCCAATTTGTCTGTGTCGTCCGTCCGTAAGGTAATGGCTCCGTAGCGATTCGCAACACAAACAGCGAATCGTAACGGGGCAGCTCTCACATCAGCCATATATCGTGTATCAATTAGCAACCTGCATGCTTAGTTGCCTACATGTACATGTCTCGCTCACCGTATTTAGATTGCAGTTGCAGATTCACCATGTTTACGGCCGCGCTAGCCTGGGAATGGATGACGCTTGCAACGGTTCTCCTGAATGGATATCCGGCACCGGCCGTTGTGATCTCGGCTCCTCCGGCGGCACGCCGTGTGTCCATCTTTCAACACCACTGCTGACACTCCCATTTCCTCATTTGATGCCTCCCCGCAAATTGGAAGGTCGCTCAATTATAGACAAGGTGCGGATAGATGTGGATAGAGGAGTGGATAATGCAACAACCCAATCTCTTGACGTCTGATTACCATTGCAGAAGTGGACTTTTTATTACAATCCGGAGAGAAATTGATATCGGCGGTACGTTACAACGAGTTTCTTTTTTTCTGACAGTGGATACGCAAGTCACGAGAGCAGGGGCAGTCACGCAACGACATGCGTATTTACTCAAGTGTGGTAATAAATGGTATTTCATAGAAAGTAAAGAGACGCTATACATGCTCGCTGTAAATGCCCAAGCAGCCGTGTGAATCGTTGTGATTGTGCCTCGCCCAAACAAAATTTGCTCGTATATCAGCAATCTTGTACGGATCACTTGTGTTCCAATTGCGCCCTACTCCAGAAAACAGGTATCATGTAGGAAATGAAAAATTAGGATAATAAAAGAGATAAGGTGTCGTGTTAAAAGGTGAGACATATGAAGCATGAATGAATAGCGTTCGTGATGCGAAACAGAAGTATGGCGAAATGGTAGGTAGGCCATAGTGAGTGAATTAAGGAGTGTCTGCCTTGCGGCAGGTATCGTATTTCGCTTGTTAGATGTGGTGAAAATTAAAGGTGGTGTTAATGCAGCGGATCAAGGCTTGAAAACAGCAGCGGTAAGGAGAATCCCCCCTTCCTTAGCAGCGTCTTTGGCCTGGGACGAGGTCGGACTAGGAGTGGCATTCTTGCCATCCCTGTTATTAATATCGGCGGCGTTTGGAGCGAGATTTGCGGCCGTGGCAGATGCAACTCCGGCGGGATGGGAAGGACCAGGATAGTCAACACGGCCGATCAGCTGCTCTCGGCTTCGTTGCCTCTGGCTCTGAATATCCAGGGAAGTGGTAGAATCGGGTGTGCCCACACCCATCTTGGAGATCTCGTTCTCCACGTCGGCGAGAAGTGCGTAGACGTCATCCCCAGCGTATATACGGATACTCTCAACATCAGACCGCTTCAACGCAACGGTGCTTCTGGCGCGGCTGATGTCACACACATTCTTGGCTGCATTTTCAACAACAGGTTGCTCAATCATTGTGCTCGGGACTTGAGCAACAACCCTTTGCGGGGAGGGCGAAACATTGTCTGCTCGGCTGGCGAAACTCGTCTTTGATGGGCTGCGGGGTGGTGTAGAGAGCTCACGCGGGCCACCGGGAGATTTCACTTGCTGGACTAATTCTGACGAGCCCTGGGCTGAGTTTGCAACGGGAAGCAGGGCTGCAGCCGCAACATGCTCCAATAGCTTTTGGCGAACTCGTGTGCGGCGATTCTCTGCCCGTTCCAACTTGGTGACCCAGTCGTCAATTGAGGCGTCCAATTCGGCCAGTGCCTCCTCTTGCTTGAGCATAGACTCGTGGCTGAACTTGGCTACTCGAGGAGACCGCAGGTACTGGCAGATACGTGAGTGAAGATTGCGACGTCCGGCACGTAGTGATGTGTAGGTTCGGCGTAGATAATCGGTCCTTTCATCGAGGTGGCGAAGTTCCTTTGAGAGGCCATCAACATCTTCAACCCGGAGAACTTCAAATCTTTCAGCCTGGTCCAATGCCTGCTTCTGAAGAGCTACGACATCATTGACATTGAGTTTGTGGGCCGCATCTGAAGGCTTCCAGCCCTTGGGCAGCTCCTCGAACGCTCTTCTTTCGCAGCTCAATGTTTTCTTTGAATCATTGGATTTGAGCGGTGGCCCATTGTTATTACGAACCTCGGCCCGCTTTCTGGGTCTTCCGCGGTCCATCATACCTGTCGTCGAGGATTCTGAAGCTCCGCGACGATGTTGGTGGATGTGAGATTTTTTCGGTCCGTCCTGGCCAGATACACTCCGGTCACTCTGGGTTGAGAAAGTGCTAGATCCGTCCCATGGTTTCGGAGAGGCACGGTGAGACTCCATGATTGGAGCGGAAATCGGAGTAGGTAGCGTAACAGCCGATGAGCCATCACTCGAGGCCGATTTCGGCTGCGATAAGTCTGGAGTAGAAATGCTCGGTGTAATTCGCGGTCGGCCAAGGGGAGAGTAATCCAAACGAGTGCTTCGAGAAGACGACGGAGGTGTGCTATCCGATCTAAGATTATTGCTGGAGACTTTGGACTGCAAGAGGGGAGCTGGAAGCTCTGCTGTGGGAATAAGTAGAGGCGCCAACCGACGTGGGAGTGACTGAGACAAGGGAGTTTGCAATGCAGGCTGAGGAAGGGGTTCATTAACCGCTTTGGCAACGTCAACAGGTAGGGATGTATCTTGGCTGCGCATTGGCACTCGCTGTCTCTCGTCTCTTGCGTCTTCTGGGGCACTCGAAGAACGCTCATGTAAAGGTGGTCGTCCAGGTATCGTAGCTGTATCGAAAGTTAGTGGGAGGGTCAAGTCGGTTGTATCCTGAAGAGTCAATACTAACGAGAATCCATTGCAATTTCTTGGACGGTTGTCATAGGCTCTAACTCGGGCACGCTGATTTTACGTCGTCTAGCCGGATTATACTGGTTGACCCGGAGGCGCAAGACCGAACACGCAGACCCTTTGTCATTTCTGTCGCCCATTGCCACTGCAAACGCCGCCTCGGGATCCAAAGATTTGCTGAGATTCGAGTTTGAGATCGGCTTGTCTTTTGGGAATAGTTGGTACTTGCGTTGCTCTGTCGGCAACATCCTCCAAGCGAATGACTTATCTATTGATGAGGTAGGAGGAGTTGTCTAGGTGGTGTTCGCGTAAGCTGGAAATCTACACCTACGCGCCGAGCAGGAGAAGATGTAGCAAAATTTACTCACAGAAAGTATGGGAAGCGTTGGGGATGGTGATGGTGACTTTGAGACAGAGCCTGGCTCTATATTGGCGATACATGTCGCGATATGAGCCATTGAGCTCGATAGGACTGGCACCAGACCTTGCAATGCTTCCACTGGTAGTTGGAGCGCTTACAGAAGGGCAGGTATCACAGCGTCTCTGAATAGTCTCAACACGAGTATTTCAATAGATATGGCCCAGGGAACCACTCATTGTTCGGCCAGTTGGGACGGCGTTGAGAGAGTCGGCGCGGACGATATATATCTACGGAACGGCCTTGTTCAAGCCCACAATGCGACTAAAATGGGCCACCCTCAGTCCCATCACCTTACCTTAGCCTTGGCTTGGTCGAAGGCAAGAGGATCCATGGTGTCATGGTGCCCACCACCCGGATAGAATGTAGGGAACCGTGCCCCTGGTCAAAGTCCCAGAGACCCTCGAGTGTCAAAGTCACTTAGAGGCATGCACAGGCCGGGAATCTGAGACGAAGGTTGCCTTGGTAAGGGTAAGGTTGCAGTAGGTCTCTATAGCACAACACTGATGAGAGGTGGGGCAAGAGCTGGAGGCAGGCTGAGGATGAAGGGGGACCTTGTTCATCTTCTAATGCAGAACACATCTATATGCCGCCCGTTTGTATACTGATTTGCCCGGGTGGATTCAACACCAAGCCCCCAGTTGTTGCAGCTTGACCTCGAGTTGCTACGGAGTACATGGTATTGAAACGAACTGCAAGACGTAACACGAGGTCGCCATCGCCCACTGTGACGGACAGACAGTCGGAAAGGGACTAGCTCGAGCAACCGGCCAGAAACAAGGGTGAAGGAGGCTGGAACACCTTTTCTGAGCTACATGGGGGAGTCAAACAAACTCAGACCCCTGGCGGCCCGTGTATCCCTTGGAGAGGGCTCTGAGGGGGCCCCAGTGCGGTTATAGATTATCATGGTGGTGGTAGTGGTGGTGGTGGTGGTGGTGGTAATGGTGGAAGAACTGAAGCATCCGAGTCTCCACGTCCCATCTCCACTACGGCCAGAGTTGCAACAGGGGTTAAGAGAACCCAGTCAACCAATTCTCGAAGAGCCAGATCTGTACGCGATGCCTCTTTTGCCAGGCAGCTTCGCCGGCCGTAAGCTGAGAGTAAACGGTGAGAAGACACAGCGGATTGCGGATAAGGCAACGACATCAGCCACCGCATGGTAATTTCATTAAAGTTGCGTGTTTGACGTATTTGGTGGCTTCACAATGTACTCTTTACTTTTGAGTTGGGGCTGTTCCAGAATATGTCTCGACTCAGTGACCCCGTCCTTCGCTAACAGCACAGAAGCCTCGTAGCCGCAGGCAACTCAAAAAACTGGGAACGTGTCAGTAGACTCAGTCCAAAGGCACAACATTAAGGTCGAAATGATGGGCACCCGGCGACAGTGCCAACCGCGAGGGTAGAAGAGTCCGAGTCGACTCGTCATGCTGCAGCCACTACGGCATTGTGAAGACAGAACAAGCCTTCTTTGTTATCTGCGGGACGAGAGCGAGATAGTCAGAGGCCAGGAGCATCAAGAGTTGAGAGTATGACAACCATCAACATCAGTGCGCAGCATTCGTAAAGGGTTGATGATCAACTTCGCCAATTGCTCATGCACCATGCGGACGCTGAAGCAAACGATCGAACTGCGCGGCGTTTGGCTCGAGCCCTACATGATTTCTACAACAGATCATGACCCCCATGTCCATGTGTTCCATAGGTCATTGTTTTTTCGGAGCTAGTTTCTCAGCGTAAATGAGGGGTCAATATGCAACATGCGGGGGATATCATCACCTCGCTAATCAACTTGGAAGCAGCCAAAGTAAAAGAATTGGTTGAGAAACTGGCTGAGTTGCAGACAGGTCGGCAGTGGACTGGGAAAGCCTCGCCGATGGATCTCGGCCAATGCGCCTGATCGGGCCGCTGGCGCAGCAGAAAATGAACAATGGGATGAACCGCAGGAAATGGCCAGCGGTAGTACTTTGGATCCATATCCTCTCGATAATCAAGGCTCAAAAACTATCTTGTGAGTGTGTGTACATCCACCCTTGATGCGTTCTCGTAGTTGCTGCATGTGGTGAGTCGTGCTAGGTCAAAGCACCAGCTAATGTGACGCTACTAGTAGCAGTTTTGTCTGCGTTTGTGATAAAGAGTCACTGGGGTACGGAGTATCTGTTTGTAAAACTCCAGTGGTTTTTACTAAGGGCTAAGGCGCATTAGGCCTATCATCGACCCCCGACCAAACATGCTTCAAGTTTGAGCCGTCAAGTGGGTTAGTAGCATAGGCACTTGATGCGCATGAACTGGTTCCCCCGCGGTGATGGGTCGCCGCTGGTGCCGAAGGAAACAAATATTCATACCCACCAAGATCGCAGAGATTATTGCCAGGCGCTATTTGAAACAGGAATCCCTATGGTTCCTGTGGTGGCGTGGGGTGTATCGGGAGCTGTGTGCGGAGATGTTCAAGGATGACGATGTAAACCCCGGCTGAAAAAGTCCCAAGGCAAGGCGAGGGGTAAATGCTGTTGAAGCATAAGTTCTTCGTTTCACAAGCCATAATCTAACACCGTTCACATAGGTGTCGGAACCAGCTTTCAAGTTGGTTAATGGTTTGAACGAGAATGATGCCTGGTCTGCGCCCCACCCAATATTCCTGGTCTGTTGTCAATTTGCATTAGTTTGAGAAGCGTCGCACATCAACCTAAGCCGCAGAAAAGGATGTGTGTAGTACCTTGATCAAGAGTCAAGACTCACCTGAAATGGGTGGCCTGTCTGGAGCCCAGAGGGCTATATTGTAGATAGTATTGACGAGAGCGTCCACACACTAGCTAGTAAAAAATATGATGAGCAGAGAGATACCGCGTGAAAATACTATCCTAGAGGGTGCGTCATGGACTACGGCCTGCACCCACCAGACTTTATTAGAAACCGGAAGGCGGAAGAGGAGGTGACTTGGTAAAGTCTGCGGCGGCTGAGTCAAGGTGTGGTGAGATAAAAAAACTTCTCTCACTTCAGGTATTGGCTGAATTAAGTTCGGTCAGACAGAGAGCAGACATCGACACTCGCCAAGACGAGAGTGTACCGGATGTCAAATCGCCATGGCCATCGTTACTTTCCCAAAGCAATTGGTGCCTGGATGCCTGGATGCCTGCCAGCTGCTTGGCAACTGCCTACCAGCCCGATGCTCTGATATCGGCCAACTAACGTGACTGCAAGTCTGTGCTAGTTTGAACCACGAGGAAGCTCGCTCAGTCTTTCGTTTAAAATTTTTATTTGTAATTGAGCAACATTTCCATCCGATATAGACGCTAAATGCTTCGAGATTTCCTTTGAGCACTTCATATGCCGCAGACTACCAACCAACATCATTGTTACCGATCGCTTGACGACTTCACGTCATTACCCATGGCGCAGCCTACTGGTTTCTCAACCGGATGGATTTGCAGGGTTGATACAACAGCAACCGCGTTTGGAGAAGGCATCCTGGGGAAATTTTGGGCATTGGCCCCCCCAAGAACAGTAATCCTGCGGTCACTGGTCAACATTCGTTTCCATAATGAAGCTTCCTGGTTGATAATATGCGGACACAGGACTGGGGTAAGGGGATGTGCCATGGAGGGTCGACAATATTAGCTGGCCGCCGGACGTGCAGATTCTGCATTCATATCCCCAAACCATACTGAATTCGGTACAATGTCCGTGTGTCAGTCTCGATATCGTTGTAGCAGCATGCCATGCGTGGTGAGTGATAGTATCACAGGCTCGATCCAGCTCCCAAGTGTGAAGGCAAGTAACTAAGTGGTCGCACTAACGAACCCCAGGGAAGACGGCATGTGGACGAGTCGCGCGCGGCACATGGCAATTAGCGGTTGAGTTCCACCAGAAAACCGCGCCGCAAGGCCCATAGGAGACGTTCTGTCAAATCCTGTCTCTTTGACGAGCAGGGTCGTGACTCCGACCCTGCCTGTCAGTCAACAAACGTTCCCACTGTGGCTCCATAATGGCAGGACCCCCTTATTTTACGGAACGCAATGACCACACCACGTGTCGAGGTTGTTCCTTTGCTTCTAGACTTGTGGCGGCGCTAGTGCAACTTGCT